CCCCGGCTCACAGGCCCGTGTGGGCACACCTGGTCCCCACTTTAGCAAGGCCCCCGCCGGGAGGTGCCGCCCGGCGGCCGAGCTCGGGGAGCACGGTGGCATGGGCCTCCCTGGCGGGCCTGACGCCGCGGCTCCCCCAGGCAGGGAATTCCCCAGCTCCTTCGAGTCCCTGGTAAAGAAGATCTGCCGGTTCCTGTTCCACGTGCTGGGCCACATCTACTGGGCGCACTTCAAGGAGACGCTGGCGCTGGAGCTGCACGGACACTTGAACACTCTGTACGTCCACTTCATCCTCTTCGCCAGGGAGTTCAACCTGCTGGACCCCAAAGAGACCGCCGTCATGGACGACCTCACCGAGGTGCTGTGCGGTGGCCCCGGCGGGGCCGGCGGCGGGGGCCCAGGGGCACAGAACCACGTGAAGGAGAGATGAGCGGGCCGGACCGAGGCGCACAGGTGCAGGGGGACGGCTGCGTGTCTGCGAGTGCAGTGCCGTGCACGCGGCCCCGAGAGGCCGGGGCCCGGGCTGCGCCGAGCATGGGGTCCCGACACCGACGGCCGGGCCGCGGCTCCCGGCTGCCCCGTTGGATGGATGCGTGCCGTGTGCCGGGAAGAGCCTTGGGTTCGTTCGTTCGTTCACACGCTGCCGGCCTGACGCTTCGAGTGTTCTGCAGGGCTCTCCTCTCCTGGGTCCTCCGCGCAGCCCCCGCCCCCCACCCCGGGCCTGGTGGGAGGTGGGGCTCGCTCCAAGGAGGGGGTCTGCAGCCGGGGCTTCTGCTCTGGTTGGAGGGTGGGCTGCTGCTCTCGCGGCCCCGCCTGCCACGCCTGCTCCCTGCCTCACCCGGGTCTCGCTGTTGGTGGCTCAGAGCCCAGGGAGGCCCAGGTGGCCTGGGAGGCTGTGCACCTGCTGCTTGCTCCTGCCACGCAGGGAGGGGTCCTGGTGTGCAGGCCCCGGGGGGGCTGAGGCCCCGCGGAGACGCCAGGTCAGCAGAAGGCTGGGCCGGGCTCGAGTTCCTCTGTTCAGTAATAAAGAGAATCCTCTCAGGTCAGAGCCCTGTGTGCGTCCTCAGCGTCTCGGGGACCCCGCCCTGAGGGCAGGGGGCTGGAGGGGAGGCCTGGCTGCTCCCGCACGTGGGCAGCCCCATGGATTGCTGGCAGCAGGTGGTCCCGAGCCTTCCCTGCAGCTCCTGGGTGGGCAGGGGAGGTGGGGGCCAGAGTCCCCTTCCTGTAGGGACTGCCCACAGGATGCCACGGGGCCACGCCCAAGTCACTAGACCAGATCTCTGCCTGCTATGCCCCTGGGCCCCACATAAGGGCTCTGCTTCCAGGCCCCGAGTGCACATGCCAGGACCCTGAGGCAGGTCTGAGCTGTAGTCTAGCTGGCCCAGGACCGGAGTGGGACGAGGGAGGGAAGAGGCTGGCCCGGAGCTTGGAGCTGTGGCCCGCCACAGTGCTGCACCTGCCGGCTCCCAGAATGCTCAGCGCTGCCCCAGGACCCCTTACTAGGGAGGCTCACCCGGGTGCCTGCTCGCCTGGCCCCCAGCCCAGCCCGTATGTGGTGCCTGTGGCTGAGCGGCACTTCATTGGTGTTCCCACACCACCACCAGCTACGGCCACCTCCCCCGGCGCCTGTCTCCCGTGGCCTGGGCTGGCCATCGCCCTGTCTGGTCTCAGCCTCCCCCTGGCACCTGTCTCCCGTGGCCTGGGCTGGCCATCACCCTGTCTGGTCTCAGCCTCCCCCAGCGCCTGTCTCCCATGGCCTGGGCTGGCCATTGCCCTGTCTGGTCTCAGCCTCCCCCTGGCACCTGTCTCCCGTGGCCTGGGCTGGCCATCGCCCTGTCTGGTCTCAGCCTCCCTCAGCCTGTCTCCCGTGGCCTGGGCTGGCCATCACCCTGTCTGGTCACAGCCTGTCCTCCCTCCACCCGAGAGCTGCCGCCTCCTGACAGCCTGTCCCACCACCGGCCCAGAGTCCCACAGGCTCTCCCCAGTCCCTTGGTGCACGATGGGCCAACCAGGACCACCCCCAAAACTCCACCGCTTCTGGACCCAACTCGTAAGGTCACCAAGCCTGTCCTGGAGGTAGGCTCCCTCCTCTCTCCTCCCTCGGACTGTCCTGGAGGTAGTCTCCCTCCTCCATCTGACTGTGTTCTGGAGGCGCTTGCCCTCCTCCCTCTGACTATGTCCTGGAGACGCTTAGCCTCCTCCCTCTGTCCTGGAGGCGCTCGCCCTCCCCCCTCTGACTCTCCAGGAGGCGCTTGCCCTCCTCCCTCTGACTGTCCTGGAGGCACTCGCCCTCCTCCCTCTGACTCTCCAGGAGGTACTCGCCCTCCTCCCTCTGACTCTCCAGGAGGCACTCGTCCTCGGCCCAGCCCCCAGAGCTGCCGTACCCTCTGCCGATTGGAATGTCGGTTTTCGCCCGGCGGAGCCCACTTTGATTTCTGACTTCTCAGCTCAGCAGGAATTTGTTTCGTTCAAGCCCCTGGGCCATGGGGACTGGGCAGTGGCCGGAGGGGCGTGAGGCTCCCCAGCGGGTGGAGGAGGGGTGCTAGTGGCCCTGCGGGACGCCCTGACTCCCCTGGGAGTACTGCCAGGAGGGCGTGAGCAGACGCGTGGCAGGGTGCACGGGGCCAGGCCTGCGCGGAGCCCCCTCTGGCCAGGGCAGGAGCCCGGCTGGGTCATGCTCGCTGGCTGTGCAGGAAGAAGGAGGGCGCCGAGCGGTTGTTTCCGAGCCGCGTGGGCGGCCGGAGGGAAGGAAAACCGAGGGGCCTCGGCCTGAACGCGCTGCAGCAGACCCCCAGTGGGTGTGGCTGGGCGGCCTGTGGCTCGATTGGTCACCCCCTCGGCCACCAAGGCCAAGCCCAGCGCCAGAGAAAAGGCAGTCTTGGAGGAGCCCGGCATGGGAACCCTGGCAGTGTAGACGGAAGGCGGGGGCCAGGCAGCGTGGCCAGAGGAGAGGCCGTCAGACCCCAGAGTGTGGGCAGCACACGGGGCTGTGCCTGGGGAGTGGTGACGCCCCGCGCTCTTCCACTGCTGGGTGTGCGTGTGTGTGTGCGCACGCATGCGTGTGGGAGAGCTCCCCACTGCTCTGTGTGTGTGTGTGTGTGCGCACACGCACGCGTGTGAGAGCTCCCCACTGCTGGTTTTTGGGTTGCTCCTCCAGCCGCCTGCAACAGCCCGGCCTGGGACAGCCCCGAGCCAGGAGCTGGAAACTCCACCAGCGTCTCCTGGGGGGGGGGGCGCAGGGGGCAGGGACCCACGCACTGGGGCCGTCACTGCTGCCTCCCGGGACGTGCGTCAGCAGGGAGTGGAAACGGAGCTGAACCCAGCCCCTCTGATAGGGACGCCGGCGTCCTGACCATCGGGGCAGGTGCCCCCCTGCGGCCGACGCTGGCACCTGCCTGAGCCCCAGGTCCCCAGGGAGAGGGACCTGCCCCGGTGGGCCGTGGTTTTGGTGGTGGTGCTGGGCCCTCAGCCCGTGAGGGCACGGGTGGAGACTTGGGGACCTCGGGAGGGACGTGCGTGCTTTGCGTGTGGCATGGGTGTGGGGCTGTGGGGGCAGGCAGGGACCTGTGGCTGTGCCTGCTGACGCTGCAGGTGGCGTTAAGGTTGCCACCTGCGACCTGGCGAGGGGAATGGCGCAGGGGGTAACCAGACCCCTCCGTTGGGGGGAGGCAGAGCGCAGCGGCTGGAGAGGCGGGGCCCGGGAGCCGGGGAGAGCAGGCCGGCAGTGGCTTCCTGAGCCCAGGGAGACCCAGGTCAGCAAGACCGGCCCGGTGCTGGCGCCACGTTTGAGGTAACTGGTCAGGAGCAGCGACAGGAAACAGACGCCAAGGCCACAGAGCCCTGGGAGGATCTGCTGGACAGTAGCCCGGGGGCACGTGGCTGACACCCTGGCTGCGGTCGCCCCAGGCAGGAGGCTGCCGCCCCCCGCCGCCCCCAGCTCTTCCAGCGTCGCTGATTCCAGGGGACCCTTGGGCAGTGGCAGGGAGGTCACGAGAGGCCTGGAGCGTCAGGAAGCCACTCCCCAGGCCGAGCACCCTGGTGGGGTGGGGCTGGCACAGCGCCAAGCGCCTTCCTCCTCGAGGCCCCATGGGCTCAGCCCTGCCGCGTCGCACAGGCTCCTCAGCAGAGCGCCTCGCGTGTGTGCGCCCACCCTCTCCATCTGCAGCACCCCGCTGCCCGAGAGCCTGGGCAGAGCCTGGCCTTAGGTGGGGCCCCGCCGCCTGCGTCGCGTCCGAACGTCTCTGCTGGACAGCACAGGGCCCAGCGGGCTCGCTGCTCGGGGTGCACGTCCTCACGTGAGCCCTCGTGTGCGTGCCAGCAGTTGGCCGTGGCTTGTCACAGCTGGGAGAGCTTGGTGTCAGAAGTGGGGCTGCAGGGGACACCCCAGGCCCCCGAGGCTGACGTGGGTCTGAACTCGTCCAGAGGGTGTGGGACAGCAGGGGCCTGTGTGCCCCGGCCACTGCACAAGAGGCAGAGGCGAAAGCACAGGTAAGAAACGGCCTAGCCGTGGCCGGCAGTGGGGACCCCGGGGAGCAAGGCCCTCCCTCCCCTGTCTCAGGCGAAGACTACAGGGGACACCCCGCCGGCCAGCAGTGGCCACGCAGCCTGACCCCGTGGCCTCGAGGGTACCATGATGCTCCAGAGCGGGCAGAGACCCCCGGCTCTCCCTGGGTGCCCTCCTGCAGCCCACGGCCCTCGCCCGGTCCTGACGAGGGGACCAGGGCAGCCTTGACCTCCGGGGTGGGCAGGTGCACAGGACACGCCCCCCGCCCCCAGCTCCACGGCAGGCAGCTCCGGCATCGCGGCCTCTGCCCCACCCCGGGTCCTCCAGGCCGTGTAAACCCGGTCTCCAGGGAGCTGCTGGACGCAACACGGCCAGAGCCACGAGGGGGCAGCACTCGTCCTCTGCATGCCACCGTGCCGCCCCCAGCCCTGAGCGTGGCTCTGCTCAGCCGGGCGGTCCCAGACCCCTCCCCAGCCCGGACGAGGCCTCGCGCGGCTGTGACGGAAGGGATTTATTGTTCTGAACTGAAGTCGCTCACAGTTGTCTGACGGGGGTACACTGGATGGGGCGCGTCCACGTCCTGATGGCCGAGGTACAAAAGAGGAAGGCGTGCGGGAGGTATTGCTGTGGCGTCTGCCTCCGAGGAGGGGCCCTGCCCGCCTGCACCGCGTGGCTCTTGCTGTACAGGTGTTTGGTTGGTTCTAGAAATCCCGCCTGTGCTGGAGGTCGGATGGATGTGACCGAGGGGGGCGGTCACAGCAGAGGCATGCACACCCCCGCCGCCCCGGCGCGAGGACGGGAAGAACAGAAGCTGTAGATGGGCGCGAAGCAAGGAGGCGGCCGGGCCTGCGGTGGCGGTGGCGGTGGCGGTGGCGGAGTGGGCCGCGCCCCTGGGCCCCACTGTGGCCGGGGGACGCCTGCCGCTGCTCTCTCGGTCCTCGTTGTCTGTATGGGTTGTTTTTTTTTTTAAACCTTTTGTCATTTTAGTAAAAAAAAAAAAAAAAAGAAAAAGAAAAAAACGCCCCAGTGCCCCTGCCTCCCTGTGGGTGCCGGCTCGGGGCCTTGCGCACCCCCTCGCTCTTGGAGTCCAAACCAAGAGGCGCCCCGGCCGCAGCTCGCGCGGGGCTGCTCTGCACCGCGCAGGGCAGAGGCCGGGGCGCGTGCGTCCCTGTGTAAATATAGATCTGTGTGTATCATAGAAACCGCCAGGGCACGGACCCTGCCCGGCGCCCCACCCCCACACCCCTCTCCAAAAACAACCGAGAAAAAAAAAGTTTATAAAAATATCTTGCAGGAATTCTTTTAAAGTGTACAGTAGCTCGCCCCCGCTGCCCCCCCGGCGGCTCTGTCCTGGGGGGGCACCTTGGCTCCGGCCCCACCCTGCCCGGGACACACAGACAGACAGACGGCAGGCGGGCACCTGCTGCCGCCCCTTCCCTGAACAGAGAAGTAAAGGAACTCAATAAATTAAAACAGCAAATAAATAATACTGATCTCAGCCCGGCCTCACAGCCTGGCGGCCCCCAGCGTGTCTCTTTCCAGCTCGGGTGGGCGGCACGCGTGCCCTGCGGCCGGGCGAGGCGACGGAGCAGCCGGTGAGGCGGTGGGGCCGGCGCCGGGCCTCCCGCCGCGTGGGGACACGGCGCACAGGGCCCCCGCCCCGGAAGGCGGCGGGACGGGCTGTTGCCTCCAAGGGGTCTGGAGCCGGCGGGCGTCCTCGGGGCCCGGCCAGCCGGTGGCGCGGCGCGGCGGCAGCGGGAGGGAGGGCGGGTCCGCAGCAGCTGCCGTGGGTCGTGGCCTCGCGCAGGCGGCACGTTAACTTTTCGGGATAATTCCTGGTATCAGAGCGGAAACAAGCGACGCCGTCAGAGACAGGCAGAGACAGACACAGCGCGAGAGGAAGGAGTGAGCGTGAGCCAGTGCCCGCTCCTTCCTCCCAGGCTCCGGGGCCGCGGTCTGGGCGGGCAGGCGGCCGGGTCCACGCGGTCAGTGCTGGGCTGGGGAGGGGCTGGTGTCTACGGCGGGTGGCGGGCGGCGGGCGGCCCCGTCCTGGCCGCGTCCTTGCCCGGCGGGCGCTTGGCGTCCCCTCCGGGGCCAGCGGCCGCGGAGTCGCCGAGGGGGCCGTGGGCACTCCGCGTGCCGGGCGTGCTGGGGGCCTGGGCCGCCTGCCCGTTCTTCTCGTCTGAAAAAAGTTGTTTAATTACGTCAAAGAAGTTACTCAATGGGCTGCCTGGGTACACAGAACAGAAGACAAGAGAGAAGAAAAGAAAAAAAGGGGAGGGGAGAGAAAGAGGAAGGGCGGGAAGGAGAGAGAAACACGAATGAACACTGGGCCCTCGCCACGAGAGAGACCCGGCGGCGCGGGCGCGGGCGGGCAGCAGCCAGCGGCGGGGCCCCTCCGCCCCACCAGGCCCAGCCCCGAGGGCCCCAGGCGGCTGCAGCCTGTGCGGGTTCCCTGCTCAGGCGGTCCGGGCCCAGTCCCCAGCCAGCACGGACAGGTCAGCGGCAGACAGACAGATGGACGGATGGGTGGAAGGCATGGAGAGCGTGGGCGTGGGCGGGCGGGCAGAGCCGGGCCCCTGGTCCCAGGGGACAAGCGCACGGGCGTCCCGGGCACCACCCCCTCCTAGGCCCTGTGCGCCACCGTCCAGGCAGGCAGAAGGGGCTCCAGCCCCGCCCTGGCCCCTCAGCCCACAGTGCTGCAGGCCCTCTCTCTCCCAGCCACAGCCCATGGCCAAGCAGGCCCTAACCCCAGGCCGGAACTGCACCTTGGTGTAGGGGCCACTCCTGGCCCTGCCCTGCCCTGGGGCTGCCCCGGGGTGAGTGAGTGAGGCTGCTCCTGGCGGTGCACACGCAGGGCCCCAGGGTGCACAGGGGCAGGCAGCACTGGCCAGGCGGGCTCTAGGGTAGGTGGAGGGTGGGTGGCAGGCCGAGGTGCCAGGTGGGCGAGGGGTTCTTACCACATTTGGAAAGCCGCCCCGTCACCATTTCCATACAGTTAGTGGTGTCTGGAGTGCAGAATGGAGAGAGGGAGGGAGGCAGTGAAGAGGGTGCCCGTGCCCCGGGCTGGCCTCCCCAGCCTCTGGCTGGGGTTGTGCCCCAGAGACACAGGGCCCCAGAGAGGGGCAGGGCCTAGGTGTGGGGCGGGACCTCAGAGGGGGTGTGGCCAGGAGTGGGGCAGGGCCTAGGTGTGGGGTGGGACCTCAGAGGGGGTGTGGCCAGGAGTGGGGCAGGCCTAGGTGTGGGGCGGGACCTTAGAGGGGGTGTGGCCAGAAGTGGGGCAGGGCCTAGGTGTGGGGTGGGACCTCAGAGGGGGTGTGGCCAGGAGTGGGGCAGGGCCTAGGTGTGGGGCGGGACCTTAGAGGGAGCATGGCCAGGAGTGGGGCAGGGTCTTAGAGGGAGGCGTGGCCAGGAGTGGGGTGGGACCTTAGGTGGGCATGGCCAGGTGTGAGGTAGGACCTTAGAAGGGTGTGGCCAGGAATGGGGTGGGACCTTAGGAGGGTGTGGCCAGGGATGGGGTGGGACCTTAGGAAGGTGTGGCCAGGTGTAGAATGGGACCTTAGGAGGGTGTGGCCAGGGATGGGGGGACCTTAGAAGGGGCATGGCCAGGAATTGGGTGGGACCTTAGGAGGGTGTGGCCAGGTGTAGAATGGGACCTTAGAGGGGGCATGGTCAGGAGTGGGGGAGGGGCTGGGTAGGGCGGGGCCCCAGAGAGGGGAGAGCTAGTTGTGTGGGGGGTTCTGAGAGGGGAGGGATGAAACTTGGAAGACAGCAGGGGGCAGGCCCTGGGCGGGGAGGGGAGCCAGGCGGGCTGTGCAGGGTCCCCTAGGTCTGCCCTGGGCCTGGGACAACCATCCCACTCGGTCCTCACCTGGCACCTGCAGCTCCGGCACTCCCTCCCCCAGCTTCCCTGGCTTCTCCCACCCTCGGGGGCCTGGGGTGTCGGCGCCGGGCTGGGCTGGGGGTGGCAGGCGAGGGGGCCCCTTACGGCCCTCCCAGGCCAGCCGCAGGGACTCTAGGATGGGTGGTGCCTCTGTCCACCTCCTGTGACGGCTCTGGGCTCAGCTCACTGGACAGGAGCACACAGGGAGACGCAGAGTACTGGGGAGTGCGGGGGTGACTGGGACAGACTGGGCACCTCTGGCCCAAGGTGGGGACAGACGGGGCCCACAGTGGGCACCCAAGAGGCTCAGAGCTCCGAGGTGGATGGGTTGGGCTGCAGAGTGCGCCCAGTGGCCAGGACCACAGGGGCCTTGTCCAGCACGTCAAGCAGTAGGGGCCAGGGGATGTGGCATCTCGCTGGGGAGGGGCCTCACCCTGGCCAGGAGCAGAGCGTGGGAGCTCACTGGGAACAGGAGCCCCCTGGGAAGCACACAGGGCCCCGTGTTCCCTGCTGCCCCGCAGGACGCTGGGCTGGCCTGAGCGCTGCCCGGTGCTGCCCCGGCCTCAGCTCCCCCTGCTCAAATCGGGGGGCTTACAGGTGCAGGACGCTGACAGCATGGCTGCCGCCGCCGCGGCACTAGGCCCCTGGCTCGCTGCCCCCGCCCTCCGTGCCAGCCTGGCTCCTGGCTGGAGGCCACTCCTCGCCCCCAGGGCTGGGGCGGGCCAGGGTGACGGGGTCTGGAGCCCCGCCCCCGGGGGTGACGCGGCAGCGGCCACAGGTGATGGGATGAGGATGGAATGACCACGGCGGTGGCTGGGTGGGGCTGGGTGGGCCAGCCAGCTCTAAACTCCACACCCTACGCAGGCACAGGGGGTGGCAGCTCTGGGGACAAGCAGCCCAGCCAGCTGCGGGGGCTCTGCTGGGGTTGGGCCGGGGCTGGGCCAGGGCTGGGCCTTGCTCCCCCCATGACCCCGTGTCACGCCACGTGCACACAACCGTCACCCCACCACCCCTGCACCCAGGCCCGGCTCATGCACCTGCCGTGGGCCTCCCTCCTCCCCCTCTCCCCTGGGACCCAGGCGAGCAGGCCTCGCCCTCTCCCCTCCAGATACCCGGTGGCAAGGCTCCTGGCCCTGTTGGCTCTAGGCCTGGGCAGTCCTCCCTGTGCGCCCCCTTCCAGGCCCAGCGGGGGACCCCTGCTCTGGCTGGGGCCTCGGGCCCTGTGGGGCTGCAGGGAGCTGAGCAGCCCCGGTCCCCTCCGGGTGCTGCGCTCGGGGAGCCTCAGGCACGGGGCCTGCTCAGGCTGCCCTGCGTCCGGCCGCCTGGGCGCCTGTCCAGGGCCAGGACGGGCGAGAGTCCTGGCTGCGGCCGGAGGCCCTGCCCACAGCCCCTCCCGCCCCGGCAGCAGGCCGGATACCTTACCTGCCAGCGTCAGAGGCTACTCTCGTAGCTGGTGGCCACCTTCTGGCCTTTAAGCCCAGCGCCCCAGCTTAGTCCTGGCGCTGGCGGGGGGGGCTCTACAGTGGACAAGAGGCGCCCTCAGTGTGCTGCGGCCGGGCCTGGGCCCTGGGGCGGAGGCGGGGGCGGGGGCCCCGCTCCCTGAGGGGTGTAGCTCAGAGGGCCAGGACGCCGCACCGCCCGTCGGCCGCCAGCCCCGGCTCACCTGGCAGGTGCGGGGCGCACGGCTGCTCGTGGGCGCTCAGCAGCTGGGCCTGGATGGTCTCCACCACCCTCTTGAAGCGGCGGCTTGGGCCTGCGGGAGAGGGTGGGTGAGAGCAGGGCCGGGGCGGGGCCTGTGGGAGAGGGCAGGTAAGGGCGGGGGTGGGGGCGGGGCCTGTGGGGGAGGGCGGGGGAGGGCGGGGCCAGGGATGGGGGGATGCGAGGCCCCAGACACCTCCAGCCAGGGCGCACCAGAGAGCAGCGTGAAGGTCACGGAGTAGATGCCGTTTTCTTTGTGGGCCTCGCTGCCCTCCGTGTAGGTGATGTCCACCTGGAACTTGACCGGCTTCTGGAACACGGCCGGGCCTCCGGTCGCCTTGTACTCAGCCCGGAAGCTTGTCTGGGAGATGACGCTGTGGCCCAGGCTGGGGATCTGTGGGCGGCACGGGGTGGCGTGAGGGGCTCCCAGGTGACCACACCCATCTGGACTGAGCCCAGTGTAGGTGGGCACTGGGGCAGGAGAGGAGCTGAAGCCCCTGCCCCCATGGCCTGCACAACCCGAGACAGAAGATGGGGTGCGGGCAGGAGGGCACGGGCGGGGCCTTGCGGGCTGGGCCACTTGGGGGTGGGACATGGGCCCCTGGCAACGCAGGAGCAGCCTGGAGGGGGGGCACGCAGGCCGCAGGGGCTGGCTGGCCAGGGGCCCGGGGAGCCTCACCTGCAGCTACAGTGGCCACGGCTCAAGGGGCAGAGGGGCCAGGTGGGGGGGCCCCTGCGGGTTGCGTGGCCATGGTGCCGTGTGGCCCCAGGGACAAGCATGCGCCAGCGCGGAGGGGTCAGGCTCGGCGGGGGACCCTGTGAGGGTCCTGGGGCTGGTCTCCCCTCAGCTCCCCTCAGGGACCACTCCCCAGTGGCTGTGAGCTGGCAGAGCGGGGAGGAGGCCGAGGAAACAGGCCCCGAGCCCCTGGGGCCTCTCCTGGGGTGCTGCCGCAGGCCCCTGCTGGGCGGCCCCCCACCCGTCGGCCGGGCCCACCCCAGCATGGCCTACCGACAGGAAGGCGTGCACCACATCGGCCTTGATGGAGCTCAGCGGCTTGTCCTTTATCACCACAAAGATCTGCTCCTCCTTCTCCAGGCTGATGAAGTTCCCGAACCACGACTTCTTGGCCAGCCTGGGCAGGGTGCGGGGGGGCTATTAGGGTCCCGGAGCCTCAGGTTGGGGCTTCTCCTCCACCACTTCCCACCGCCTGGACGCCCCCAGCCCCAAGCCTGACCCACTCTCAGCCCAGCCCGGCCAGCTCAGCTTTGGCCCTAACCACAGCCCTGCGCCTGGCCCCCAGGCCTGTGCCCAAGCAGCGCTCGCTGGCAGGGGAGGACCTTGCCCCTGGCCGCAGGGCTAGTTTCGGGGTAACACCTGGGGTGTATGGGCCGGTGACAGCACCAAGGACACTGGACAGGCAGCCTCGCAGCCCTGGGCCACCCTGGTCCTGGGGGACAGGTGGCCACGTGGCCACTGCTTCCTGGCTGCTGCAGACCGGACCGGACCTGCCGCTCCCAACCGTGGACAGGGATGGCAGCTGTGGCAGAGCCCCTGGGCCAGGGGAGCGCCTGTCCAGGGCACGTGCCCCGTGGCACAGCACATGTGGCACATCTCACGCGTGTGGCACAGCACACGTGGCACATCTCATGCGTGTGGCACAGCACACATGGCACATCTCATGCATGTGGCACAGCACACGTGGCACATCTCATGCGTGTGGCACAGCACACATGGTGGTTCACACGCTGCGCCCAGCACCACACCGTGGGTCAGCCCCTACCCTGGCACCGTTTCCTCAGCAGCTCGGAGAGTCCCGCTGCCCCCGCCCCGAGCCGCCAGCCCTCCGGCACCCTCCTCACCGCACACCTCCTGCCTCGCTTTCTAAGCCCAGGCACCTCCCCGAGGTGGAGCCTCCCCCACGGGAGCCGGAAGCCCCTCAGGAGAGGGTGGAACTGGGACTTGCTCCGAACTGAGAGCGCGTCAGAAGGCCAGGGCGCCTCTCCCGTCCCAGTGAGACCCTGAGCAGAGTTGGGGCTGGCCGGGGCCCGGGCCGTGCGCCCCGCACCTCCTCTGCCTCACATGACCAGGCAGCCTCTCTGCCCGCCCTGGGCAGTGGGCCTGGAGCCGGTGCGCGAGGCAGGGGGCCGGTGAGTCCTGGCCCCAGAGCTTCCCCGGGCTGCCCATCTCGGAGCTGGTCCTCTGGCCGCCACAGCCACCCCTGGGCAGGTACAGCCCGGCTGTCACGCGTCCTGCCCCGGAAGCTCCTGCTGGCTGATCCAGCGCCCACGGCAGGGTCTGAGCCCAGAGGTGCCCGGGGCATCTGCTGGCCAACTATGGAGTAGCCACAGAGGGGTCTGCGCACGCCTCTTCCCGTGAAGCCTGACGGGCCCGGCGTGGTGGAGGCTGTGCTTGGGACCCGGTGCTGTGGCCCCCGTGGGAGCCAGGCCTGTGCGTCTGGGAGCAGCAGGAAGACCAAAGGGGCCCAGGCAGGGGCGGTGGAGGTGCCCAGGCTGGGCGTGGCCCTGAGGGTATTTTTGGATGGGATCAACATGTAAGCACAGGTGACCTCCCTGCACCACGTGACTGCCTGTGCCACGTATTCACCCTGTACCACGTGACATGTACCATGTGACCTCCCTGTGCCACGTGAGCACCTGTACCACGTGACCTCCCTGTGCCACGTGAGCACCCTGTACATGCCCACCTGTACCACATGACTATCCTGTGCCACATAACCACCCAAACCATGTGACCTCCTTGTGCCACGTGACTGCCCCACACCACTCCCTGCCCTCCACCTATCAGCAGAGAGAAACCGAGGCTTCCCAAAGAAGGAGACCCCGGCTGAGCCCCGGTCTCTGGCCTAGCAGCCCCCTTGCAAGCCCGTGGCAAGAACCGCCCCCGCCACGCCCCATCAGGAGCCGTCTCGGTCCCCGGCCAGTGAGTCAGAGAGGAGGCAGCGCTCGGAGAGGACCCGGGGCCCAGGCCTGCAGGGCGTTCGCGAGTGGAAGGCAGGCTGAGGCTGTGCTATGGTGTGCAGAACCCAGGGCGGGTGGTGGGTGTGGCACACAGCAGGGCCCTCCCCGGCGGCCCCTCCCCCTGCCTCTTACAGGGCACCCCTCAACCACCAAGACACTCAGCAGCCACCAGGGCCTTCGCAGAGAGTGGAAGGAAGGTCTGGACGCTGGGCATGGCCAGGGTCACTGCCCCGTCCCCTCACGGCCCGGGGTGACTGCCACCCCTGCTGTGTCCCCACCCCCAGCACGTCTCCCCCTAAGCACAGTGCCCCCCGCAGCTGTGGCTTCTGCGTGGAGCAGGGGGCACCCGCACCCACCATCCCCACACAGCTGGGATTCAGAGTGCATGGGGGCTCGGGCCGAGGACACACGCAGGGCCCAGGGACCTAGAACAGGGGACACTCACTCTGGGGACGACTCCGGGGTCAGGTTGGACATCTCCTCTGGCGTTGGAACTGTGCACATGGGGCGGGCAGGAGAGGGGCATGGTGACCGCCGTGCTCAGCCTCAGCCACCCTGCCCCCACCCCCGGCTGCAGTCCTGCCAGGGACACAGGGCACCAGCCCACCGCAGCTCCTGGCCAGAGGCCGCGGGAGCTGTCCGGCCTCCGGTGCTGAAGTTGGGCCGGGCCTCTGCACCCGGCCCTCCAGACTCCAGCACAGCCAGGGGCCACCCAGAGGAGGGCGGGGCGCTCACCTTGTAGTTTCCGGCGGTGGAAGCGGGGTGAGCCCAGGAAGCTGTTCTTGATGGAGTTGAGCCGCGTCCTCCAGGGCACGCCGCCGACGCTGGGGCTGGACGGCGGCGTGGGGTTGGGCGTGCCGGCCGGGCTCTCCTTTGGCGTGTGCACGGGCGTGCCCTTGGGGGTGGGGAGGGGACTGCCCCGCGGTGAGGGGTGAGGGGTGACCTGTATGGTGGGGACAGATTTGGTGTTGGGTCCAGTCCCGGAGGGTGGGAGCCGGGCAGGGGCCGGCTGGCCAGGGGGCGGGGCCAGCTGGGGGCCGGCCGGGAGCGGGTCCGACTTGGTGCCCTGCAGCGGCTTGTCGGTCAGCTTGGCCTTGCACGGCAAGGTCTGGGTCTTGGGGTTGGGCCGCAGGGCGGCCTGCGGAGGGAGGAGGTGTCCGGGCTGCGGGGTGCTCCGGCAAGCTTCAGGCTCCACGAAGGTGGCCAGGGGGCAGGCCACAAAGGGGGGCTCGGGGGGCGGGGGAGGCAGCACAAACTTCCTGACGGGCTAGAGGGAGCAGAGCAGGCCCAGGGGGCGGGGGGAGGGAGCGGGGAGCCGCCATGCACGTGCACCCGCCGGCCCCGCCCCCACGTGCACAGACACCAGGAAGCAGCAGGGTGGACCAGGGGTGGGAGGCAGGCAGGCAGCGGGGGAGGATGCGGGGCAGCCAGGAAAACCAGTGACAAACGAGAAAACACAAAACAGAACAAAAGAAAACGTGCAGTTAGCAAGAGCAGCCCGGGCAGGGCAGCCAGAGAGCCTCGGCCTGTGTGCGGGGCGGGGCCCCCTCCCCCCGCACCTGCGGCAGGCGGGGCACTCACCCGGGGGCTGCTGAGGGGGCTCGTGGAGAGGCCCGAGGAGGCACCGCTGATGGACCGGGACCTGAGGGTGGCAGGCAGGCGCTGCGACTCAGCAGGAGGGGGCGGCAGGGGCCCGCGGCTCCCTCCCCACCCCGGCAGACCCGCGGACCCGCTGAGGCCGGCGTGCGCCCTGCCAGGCTGGCCGGCCGGCCATGTGCAGCCATGCCAGGGCCTTCTTGCTGCCCACGGCCCCGTCAGCAGCTCTGGCCCCGGCATGGAAAGAGGCACAGGGACGGGCAGGGGCTTCCTGTGCAGGGAACCCCGCCCCATCCACAGAAGCTGGGTCTCCCCGCCACGCCCCTGCCTGCCTGAGATGGTCCCTCACAGCTCAGCCACAACAGGGCCTGGCATGTGAGCCACCAGGGGACCCCAGCCAGGGCCCTCCGTATCCATAGCAACCCAGGGGACAGGGCAGGGCAGCCCACAGCCCTCCTGTGCTCAGACCCCAAGGGCCTGGGTGGGCCAGGCTGGTAGACGCCGCCAGCAGGACAGTTGGGCCTTGCCCAGCCACCACACAGCTCAGCTGGAGGACCGGGCACAGCCAGAGGAGGCCGCCGGCCAGAGTGCCCAGTGCGGCTCAGGCAGCAGCCGCCTCCAGGGCAGGGGACTTGCCTCTCGCCAGGACAGGCTACCACCACACCCCCTGCCGGCCTTAGGACAGAGGACGGAACAGAGCAAAAGGCCACCCCACAGTGCCCACCACCAGCCAGCCAGCCGCAAGGTCAACCCGCCCACCCACAGGCGGGCACCGGGCGGAGGGAGCTGGCCCCTCGCCGCCTCCTGGGCACCTGTAGGCAGTGGGGGTCCAGCTCCCCAAACCCACACAGGCCGGGAGGCGGGGAGGCAGCCAGCAGCTAGGCCCAGGGCCCGGGACACCCGCCAGAGCCGAGCGGGAGCTCGTCCCGGAGGGCAGCTGTGCCCTGCGGCCTCCTATCTGGCCTGCAGCTCTCAAAGGCTGCAGGGGAGGGGCGCACACAGCACGGGCTGGCTGCGAGCTGGGGCAGACCCCTCTGACCCTGGCACCGCCTGCCCCCTCCTCGGTGCCTTCAGGTGGGCACAGGACCCACTCAGGTCGGGCCAGCCTTGCGGGCAGGAGGCCACCCCAGTACCCGGGGCCAGCAAGGCCCACTGGGCACGGGCCAAGGGGCAGGCAGCCGCAGCAGGTCCCGGAGCTGGGAGAGCCGCCTGGGTCTCCCAGCCCTGGGAGCCTCCCCGCGCTGGACGTGGGCGCTGGCCCTGCAGCCCACCCCGCCCCCTCGCCTTTGGAGTCGCCGACGGGCTGGGCGGGGTGGGCGCCTGGGCTGGAGGCAGGTGGCGGGCAGGGTGAGTACCTGTCTTCTTTGCTGAACTGGGGATGGGCCTCAGCGATATCCAGGCTCTTACTGAACACTGCCTTACTACAGCAGGAACAAAGCAAGAGAACAGAGTTACCGCCGGGGCCGCCCTGGGACCCAGACCGGGGCAGCCAGGGAGGAAGCCGGGCAGGAGCCTGGGTAATCTGCTGGAGCCCGGAGGGTGCCCGGCCCCACCGCCAGCCCCCAGCACCCCTCCAGCCACAGCCAGCGGCCAAGCCAGGAGCGGAAGTGGGCTGGGATGAGCCAGGGCACTAGGCCTCCCAGGGACTCGGGGAATCCCGGCCACAGGGCTCAGGATAGGAGGGGCTCAGGGTGCCGGGGCTGTGGGCAGGACGCTGCAGGAGGGTTAGCGTGAGAGCGTGGCCGGGAGGGGCCCCCTGCCCTGCCCCAGTGCTGGGGGTGAGGTGCAGTGGGCCACGGCTGGCCGGAGGCATGGAAGGAGGCCCCAAGGCCGGGATCCCCGGTTAGAGGCAGAAGCAGCCCTGTTCCCTGGGGGCCCGGCAGACTCCTCAGTAGCCAGTCTGGCCTGTGTGACGCCCACCAGCAGAGAGGGCAGTGGTGGGGGGTGGGGAGGAAGCGGGGCAAGCTGCAGAGCTGACCACGGACAGCCAGTGGTGCTGGAACGCCCTGTGGCCCCAGGAGACAGAAGCCCCACTGGCTGAGGGAAAGTCGGGGCTTGTCCCTAACAAGTACAGCTGGGCACCAAAGATCTGTGGCCAAGGATCTGTGCAGCCCAGCCCCACCCCCACCCGCCATGGCTCTACAGGACTGGGTACCCCTCCTGCCTCCAGGTCCTGCTCTCAACCCCAGAGTCCACACCCCTGCCCACACGATGCCACGGCCACCCAGACACTTCGTGTTAAACCAGCTGGCTGGCAGCTCAGAACACAGTGTGTCCGGTGCCCGGTTTAACCAATCATAGCCTGGCCTAGCCCAGCCCAGCCCAGCCCAGCTCAGCTCAGCTCAGCCCAGCCCAGCCCAGATCAGCCCAGCTAAGTCCAGTTCAGCCCAGCCCAGATCAGCCCAGCCCAGCTCAGCTCAGCTCAGCCCAGCCCAGCCCAGATCAGCCAGCCCAGCCCAGCCCAGCTCAGCTCAGCTCAGCCCAGCCCAGGCCAGCTCAGCCCAGCCCAGCCCAGCCCAGCCCAGGCCAGCCCAGGCCAGCCAGCCCAGCCCAGATCAGCCCAGCCCAGATCAGCCCAGCCCAGCTCAGCCCAGGCCAGCTCAGCTCCGCTCAGCTCAGTCCAGTTCACCCCGGCCCAGTTATGCCAGCTCGACCCAGGCTAACACAGCAAAGCCAAGTCCGGCTCAGCCCCGACGCTGACCAGCACAGAGCAGTCCAGTGACCCAGCACCAGTGGGCAGAGGACAGTCAGACAGCCCAGGGCACCGGGGAAGGCGTCCACGCTGACCCCGGCTGGGGCACCAGGTGGGCAGGGTAGGGCCCCCAGGCCGGCACCCACCTCTGGCCGTGCTGGGCCATCTCGATGGCTCGCCGCGCGGGCACGGGGGAGCCGCCGTCCGTCCCGCTGAGCACCTCCATGGATTTGCGCTCCGGCCGCCGCTTGCCGTGCCGGTTCAGCATTGGGGAGTCCACGCGCTTCCGGGGAGGGTCTGCACACAGAGGGGCGTCAGGGCCAGGAGGCCCGCGGGGCCGGGGGGGGGGGGGTGCTGGGGCCGGCCGGGACCCCGCCCGTACCGATTTCATTCCTGGGGGGCAGGTCCTCGTCCTCGTGGCTGGGGTACCTCTCCTTCCGGTCCAGGAGGAGGAAGTAGATCATCTTCTCCTGGTTCTCCCTGCAGGGGGGAGAGGGAGCCCCGCGGGCTGGGTCGGGGAGGGCCGGGCCGAGCACGCGCCCGCCCGCCCGCCCGCGCGCGTGCCTGCCGGCCACACGCACTCCTCGGACAGCAGGTCCTGTAGCAGCTTGTTGCGGTCCCGGAAGCAGCCAAGTGAGTGCATGCTGTCCAGCACGTCGGGGTCAATGTCCTCCAGGCTGGGCAGGGAGCGGATCTGCACCTTGCGGGGGATGGGCTGCTCGGGCTCCGGCTCGTTCTTGCCCCCTCTGCGGGCGACAGGGCACGGGCCGGTCACTCACCTCCCGCCGGCCCAGGGCTCCTCCACCCCCACCCTGAGGCGGCCGGGGAGGTGGGGAGAGGCCGGCCCTGCTCCTGTCCCTGCATCCGGCCCCTGCAGGCCTCCTGCTGCCCCCGCGGGGCGCGTGCAGGGGGCCAGCCCTGCCTGGCCGGGGCCCTCCCCGCCGCCTTCCTAGCTGGCCCTCCAGGCCGAGTGGGAGGGAGAGCTACTTACATATACCATGTGTGTTTCTGAATGTGTTCTAGCTACAAGGAAAGAGAAACAGGGTGTTAGTACGCAGGACAGCCCACATTAGGAGGTGAGAGGGGCGGGCAGCAGGCAGGGCCGTGGGGCCAGCAGGAGGGTGCTGGGGAGACAGGGAGACAGGTGGGGGCGGGCCTGGGGAGCGAGGCGGGAGCAGGGGGCAGGGGCCCTGCGGCCCCCGCGGGGCACCTGTGCTGCCTGGCCA